AACAGAGTTCAACAACTCTAGCCAGCTATTCTTTAGTAAAACTAATTAGTGAAGCTCTTAATAATAAAATATCAACTTTATCAGTTTTTCTAGACATGAGCAAAGCATTTGACTTTGTCTCACATAAACGTCTTCTTTACAAGCTAGAGAGATATGGTATAAGAGGTAAATCTCAAGATTGGTTCAAAAGCTATTTGTCCAACCGCCAACAAAGGACTGTTATCTCTAAAATTGTAAACAATTATAGAATGACATATAGCTCCGAATTGAAAAATAACAACTCTGGCGTACCACAGGGGAGTGTATTAGGCCCTCAGCTTTTCATATTATATATAAATGACCTGTCACAATGTCTAAAACATAACTGTATCCAATTTGCGGATGACACTACATTTACAATAAAATGTTTAGATAAAACGGATATGGAAAATGAAACTAATAATGAATTGACAAATGTAATGAAATGGTTAAAAGACAATAATCTTAAAGTAAATATTAATAAAACAAAACTAGTTAAATTTCAAACATGTAACTCAACAATAATACCGACAGCAATACGACATAATAATACAGTTTTACAACCAGTACAGTCGGCTTTATTTTTAGGTATTGTAATTGACAATAAACTTAACTGGAAAGAACATATAGAAGGAGTGTGCAACAAGTTGGATAAGTTTGTGTTTGCCCTAAAAAAGCTTAGGTTAGTATCCAGTAAAGAAACAGCTTTAAACGCCTATCACGGCTATGTTTCATCGGTGTTGCGATACGGTTTAGTGATATGGGGCAAATCAGTAGATGTGCAAAGAGCTTTTATAGTGCAAAAAAATGTATCAGGGCTATAAGTGGCGCTGAATATTTAGATCATTGCAGACCATTATTCAAGGAACTAAAAATACTTCCTCTGCCATGCTTATACATTTTTGAAATTTGTCTTTTTGTAAAAAAGTACCCACATTTATTTCCTTTAAATGAACAGATCTCTGTGAGGTTAAATAACAAAAATCCTGGAAAACTACAGGCACCTAGACAGAGATTGCATTTATACAGCAATAATGTACATTGTATGGCAATTAAAATTTATAATAAATTATCACCTGACTTGAAAATGTTACCAATAAGTAAGTTTAAAAATCGAATGTTCACTTGGCTTCTAGAGATGTGCTTCTATTCTGTTAATGAATTTTTAAATCGAAAGTTTTGACATTTTATTTAATATTTTCACATTGTATTTAGTACTTTTACATTGATTCATATTGTGTTTAGCATTTTAGTTTAGTATTGTGAGAGTACACGTTTTTTGACATGAATATTGACACTGTATTTAGCTTTTGACATTGTAATTAATATTTTACCATTTTGACGCAAATAATATTGTTACTTCTAATTACTATCATATACTTACTGAAACATGTTTTTTTTTAATTTTTGTTATCAATTTGCTTGACATTATTATAATTACCTTTTTTTTCGTTTTAAAGCATGATTACCAAAATATTTCTACACCAGCAATGGTAGTGTATGTGAAACAACATTTAATGTAAAACCTCAATGTACCATATACTTTGAAATAAATGATATTCTATTCTATTCTATTCTATTCTATTCTATTCTATTCTAAGAGTTCCCCAAGGCGCTTCATGGGACCAACGCAGTTTTGAACAGATTGCACTTGTTTATTTCTATGCTAATAATATTTTTCTGGAACTTGCAGGGTTGGTGTAATGTATGTTATATGCATGTAGAGTAAATTCTAGTCATAAAATGTTTATTGTTGATGTGTCATGGTATATTGTGCAGCAAATTAAATAGTTTTTCCAATAGAAAATCCTTTCATTTATGAATCAAAATTCCTTAACTAGGGAAAATACAAGTACATAAAAATATATAAGTATTCTCATAGACTATAAATGTGTGTTATTTACAACTCATCCTTTTTTTTGATGAAATCACAAACATGAGTGCATTGCATTAAAAGCTACATAAATTCAAATATTGCTATGTTTTTATAGAATAGAAGTTTTTATTTAAAGCTCAGAGCTCATTAATGGTTAGTTACAATTTTCTTATACAACTAGTTTTAGTAAAACTTACAGATTCCAGTATCAATAACAGTCACAATTAAAAACAAATAATAAATGACATCGACATGACATTTTTATATTTACATACAATCTTTTCTCTTATTTCTAGAATACTTATTTTATAGGATGACATAAACATAAACTTATATTTATAACACATGGCGTATTTACAATTATTATTATAAAAAAACTCAACTAACATTTCACTAACATTTAAAGCAATGCCCAACATTCAATATTGATAGGTCCTTAAATCTAATCTAAATTGTCTCACGTCATAAAGCAGTGTTTTGCTCTTTGCACGTATTTCTTTGATATAAGCTAGTAGTTCTTCATGTTGAGGACTACCTTCACGATCTGTTTCTAACATTCCATGACCACAGCTGCGAGTAGGACTACCAAAAGATTGATCTTTAGATTGACATTCAATAAAATTTAATTTTTCTCCATTACTTCTCTCCATCTTTGGTACCACCAACACATCTCCATTTTTCGCAGCATGTCTCCATGCGCTGTTAACACAGCTCCATGAATTGTTGGTGGATTTAGTTACACCACTTAGATATCTTGAACTCAAAATGCTCCTCATGCGGCCACGTCTGAACCTGTCACCAGCCCGTACTCCATGACCGCTACTACGTTTTCCAGTTGGAGAATATTTATGGTTAACGCCGCTACCACTACGTGTTACACTGTCGGAAGACATTTCAATCTTGTAACCCATATTGATATTTAAACGAATTACTATAAAGTATTGTTCGGAGTTACACTTGCACCACTTGCGCCAGACCAACGATAAATGACTGTTCGTCTCAACGATTAGTTAAGCACTAAGTTTTCGACAAATGAGATTTGACTGATCGACTTTGACAAAACAAAATGTTGGAGTGGGGAGAGACGCTTTACCTGCTGTGGGAACCATAAGACAATGCATTTAGAAATAGATTTGAACATTAGCCCTTTATTCAATATTCAATGCATTAGCAATTTCTCAGAAAATAATACTATACAAATTATTGTAGTGACAAATTTTGCAAAACCCATTACAGAGAATCGATTTAAATGATAATAATGTGGCATTGTGTGTTGTCATGGCTATACAATTTCCTGTGAAATCTTGTAGTGGTTGCTCCGTATCATAAAAGAATACTTATTAATTACGACCGATTTAAAAAAAGAAAACTTTACATTCGTTTAATATTCTATTTGGTTATATTCTCTGACTCCTGATAGGCTGGAAGTATTAATTTAATCCATATTATTCACATATCATACACACACATATGTTTAAGTTTGTATATAGTTTCGCTTTCATTTTTAATTTACAACTTTCGGTGACCTTCATCTTCAAGCGAGCCGTCCAGCACGGGGATTAGGACATACTAATACATTAAACATTGAGTACGCTGTCATTCCTTTTTTATGTATGTTTCATATTTATACTCTCTTCTACTACACATCTTTTGTATTTGTTCATACAGTACTTCTAAACTTTTGCTTATGTTTATAAAATATTTATATACTCATAAGCGAGATCTAATGTTTGCTTTAAGCTCAAATGCACTACTGCGCAAGAGCTGGTTTTAAGTGGGGCTACTTGTATTGGGTCTCTTGTTTCACTAAATTACGCGGTTGAAAATGAGTTCTGCCCTAGTGCAGCCGGGGCCTTAAACTTACCTAAGTCCTTCAGAGTCCTTCCAGACTTTGATCAGCAGCAGGCGAATTTGACGTTGGTTTCCTTGGTCAGACCGAGTATCCCTGGGCTGGACGGCTTTACTGGGCGCGTTGCTGCTGCTGACGCTGGCAGACCGTGAGGATCTGGAGACAGTGCTGCACAGGGTTGAGTGGTCTACACTACTCTCCTTTGCCGCACTCTTCGTGCTAATGGAGGTATTAACGCTTGCGTGAAGCGTTTTGCTTCGACTTTGCTAGTGCAAGCCGCTAAGAAGTTGGATTTTGTTCCGGGGCCAAAATCTTGAGTTTCTTTAAGGCCGAGTTAATGGGTTACTTATAGCTACGAGTGGTCCATATTTTTGGTAAAACTTCTAGCTACTGTCTAGCCTGGTAGAATCCGATTAAAGGCACCCAAATTATACCCTTCAACTTATGACCTATTCCGTTTTTTTCTAGGCTTTGTCTAAGTTAGGTCTGATTGGCTACATCGGAGGTTGGACAGAAGCTCCTGATGGTCTGGGTAAGTTACGCATCGTATTTGAGCTAATGTTAAAAGAAGGGTGTGTTTGTGAGTGAGTGTGAATTTAGATTTCTTTGTCTAAATTGCAGGTGTCAGGCATTACATCAGCGTTTGTGGACAATGTTCCTCTGACCACTATGATGGTTAGAGTCGTGACGTCACTGGGCACTCATCCTACGCTTAACCTCCCCATTGAGCCGCTTATATGGGCACTGTCCTTCGGTGTCTGTTTGGGAGGTAAGAAAATGTGTCTTTTTAGTACAACGTCATAGTTCTAATTGTGTGTCTTATTAGTACAACATAGTTATTTCTAGGGGACAAATCAACGATTAATTATTCGTTTTCTAAGTGAGTCGTGTTGTGTCAAACTGACTGACTGGCCAAGGTATGTTAAAAAAATTTCAATAGAAAATATATTTTTATTTGTTCTCTTTCACAGGTAATGGCACACTAATCGGTGCTAGCTCAAACGTAGTGTGCGTCGGATTGGCAGAACAACATGGTTATAAAATAACATTCATGCAATTCTTCAAAATTGGCTTCCCAGTTATGATAGGCCATTTAGTAGTAGCTACAGCGTATTTGTTGGTGTGTCATTGCGTTTTCTCATGGCATTAGATAACTAGATGGTCCATTAATATCTTCCAAAGAATCTTGATTAGAAATTGGCCGTTTTTAGTTTTCAAATGATTTCTAAGTAATAGCTCGAAAGCTTCCTCAGCAAGGTGCCTCGGTTAAGATACAAAATAGAGATTACGACACAGTCAAAGGTGAGAGAGAGTCTCAGACTCTTATTGATTAAAAACCACCCTGTTCTTTTTCCTGCTCCAGGCCGGGACCGCGGAGTCTTATTGCACTTGACCCACAACCCTGGATTTAGCTTATTATATATGAAAACAGGATAATATTGAATGTATTTTACCAAAGTAACGGTTCGGTTCAATATTCTATGTGTACTTTTACCGAGACGGTCTTTTGCTGACTGAGCAAAGAGTTCAGTGTTAACTCTTAATGATGTATTATGGGAACCCCAAAAGAATAATCAAGTGTATTGTATAAAATTGACCATGTTTAAAGCTCGAAATAGAAAGATTTGAAACCTGCATTTCTGTAGTTTTATTTTTATATACACACACAAACTTTATGTCTCACGCACATACTAACACAGCGAATCAACGCTTGCATCGTGATTCGCTGTGTGAGTGACGTTCCTGTATTCTACTTGTTTCTCTTTCTCTTATTTTCAGTTTTATAATATTAGACGGATCATGTCGGGTTACTCATCCTTTATTTTACCAGAGACTTTTGGTTAAATTTGCATTCCTAACAATATTTCATACACGAACAGGGTAAATTACGTTTTTGACCATTAATCTGTTAACCAGAAACTGTCATATAAACTAATGTTTATCGACGAATCATATTGTGGCCCTGAAAAGGGCCTTTTGTTTTATTTTTGCGGTACAACGCGTGCACGCATGTGCTTCATCTTTTCATTTATCTATTCTGTAGACATAGGACGCTCTCCTTCCTTCAGCCCCTCTTAAGACCTTGACTTTTACTAAAATCACTTTTATTTATATTTTTCGTAACCTTCATTACGCCTTGGTATATTAAATCTCGTTCTTTTCTCGAATGTTCGGAGTTGAGGGCTACTAAATTCCTGTGCGACTCTAACTGCTTATTGGGACCTCCTAGAACAGATGGTATGGCAAATTTTTGCTGCGTTTCACGTCCCTTCACTTCAGCTCCTACTTGACTAGGGATGTGGTCTGTGACACAGGATGCACTTTCACTCTGGTTTTTGTCCATAGCACTCTCATTAATATTTTCTAAGAGATTCATTGTCCCTTCATACGCCAAATCCAAATTCCATTTTTTGTCCATGACGATCTTTTGCCTTTGGGGACTTTAAAATGAAAGTCTTCGTTTTTCATTTTACTCGTGTCAACACCATCTTCATTAATTATTGCAAGAAGATCCATTGCCCCTTCGTATGCCATATCCAATTCCTTCTGCATTTCTTCGTTTGGGAATGTAATACGTATGGTTTTAGAAGACTCCAAGTTCGAGTTACTTATGGTATGTTTCTGGGGGTGAATCTTCCTATACATAATATTGTTTATGCCTTCATTTCTTCTTGTATTCATCTTTGATTTAGAAGAAGCTTTATCCGTGCGACCATATTTTATTCTATCTCCATATTCTTCAGAGGCGCGACCAGTTTTTCCAGATTTATTGAAATTCTGCCCAATATTGTTATTAGGCATGATGACGAATGTATCTTCGATAAGCTCAGATATTAGATTTGATAGTAATGACCGACTTGCGATGGAAGACTGTTCACGACTGCGACAAGTCCAGTACTAACTCCTCAGCAAATAAGGTATGAGTTACTAATTTTGACAGAGATATTGTTTGGTGTGGGAAGAGTACCCGTAATGCAGGTAGTAATTTACTTATTGTTTTTGACAAGTTTTAAAATTGGTCAAATTTTACCTACCGCAGCTTTTCTTTCACATTGTCAATCATCTAACTAGAGCTGAATGGTCGCTCAATTTCTAAGTGTCGACTGATAACACTTCTCTATCTCATGCTAACAAAGTGTATTAGCAGGTAATAGTATCTTCTATTGTTTTTTAGCTTTACGTTTTCCTTACGAGGAATCATTATTATAATTACCACATGCAATTATATTTGAGATTCAAAATTCTTATCTGACATCTTGATCTTCTGTCCCATGCTAACAAATCAGTGGTGTAACACAATAGTTTAAGTTAAAATACTGTTTTTGTGTCATTAAGAAAAATCTTATTTTCATAAACCCCTGTCGTAAACTCTAGTGTCTAGCTGCTAATCCGTGTGGTGTCGGCAGAGAACAAAGGTGCAGCTACCTACACTATTGTAATAATAATATTTACAGAATTATTATAACTCTAACGCAGAACATGTGTTCTATAGCTACTAACACTTAAACAATAGCTGACAATGCTTTGTTAGCGTGGGACTAAAGACCAAAATCTTATGAATAGATCCTTTACAAAATTAAAGGACCAATCAGCGAGAGGTGGAAGTACGATAACGCCCATTGAACGAGGAGAGGTGTCAACAAGTAAATAAATATAAAGCAGTTGTTTTGTTTACTATAATAAAGAAATAACTTACGAATAATTTATTTAATTTTATTTAAAAGACAATAAAATACCTAGACATATATTTTGCAATCATTCATTAGCGAGTAGGTAGCAAATATGGACATTAATGCACATTGAATTTTCTTTTTATGGTTTCCTTCGTTCAAAAGTAAGATAGAAATGAAACCATCTTAAGATCACATTCTTCGTGCACCTGTGTATTATCTGTGTGGTATGGTACATATATTAGTTTTGGCCCAACTAGCGTGGTGCTGGTGAGTTATGTTGAAACCTCCATGTGAGGAGACCAATAAGTATTTATAAGCTGATGAGGATGATGTTGATGATTTTACACCAAGCTCTTATTGCTCAGCCAAAACTAGCTTGAAGTATTTTAACTCCAAATAAATCACTTTCATTATTTTTCGTTTAATCTGTCTTGTCAAACATACATACTATTTACATTAAACTATAATAGTTATGTAATATTATTATTACAGATATCAACTAGAAAATAAAATGTTGCATAACTAGAACATATTAACATTGCGTTTTTAATACACAACCATGTAGATCTACCAGCTCTTTCAGAGCGCGCTCCGAGACCTGCCTCAGCTCCTGCATGCCTACTGCGGTGACGGCCACCACATTGTAAATCTACCTTTACTTCTGTACACACCATCACTGCTCTTAGTCTCTCTTACTTACACAATATCTTAAGTATAAAATTGCACTTGATTATAACTGTAGAAGTCACTGTGATGTGCATTCCGCGCACAGGCTTGATAGCAAACACCGACCGACGACAGACTACTGTCAGTATCAACGACGACTCAAGCGCTAAATTAATGTCTCGGTACATTCTAGTTTATAAAATAATATGTAGTGAACTGGGAACTAATGATGAACAATTAATAATTATGTTATTAGTGTTCTTGTTAGAATCGAGGGAATCGTCATAATGGAGCTCGTTACTTAATGCGACCAATTATAGAAGATATGTGATTAGTGTTATTGGAGTAATGAATTATTAAATGTCATTAAAATATTGTTTATAGTTTGTAGTAAAAGAAAAAGATTGAGGATAGAATGCTGCTTGTAGCTATTTGTGGTCCCATGGAAACAGTTGTTGTAATTGAGCACCAACATCGGCTCCTTGAATATGTCCCTTGTTCAAAATACCACCCTGTTAGTATACATATTTATATAGGTGATTAAAAGGTATGTAGTGCGTCATTTGTTGCAATATATTTCAGACGATAAAGTTATCCTCGGCAAAAAGTAGCATCTTAATTGTAAAGAAAATACTTTTTAGTTAGAAATTCAAATTTATTCACTTTGAGTAATCATTGAAACACATTAAAAAAAATGTATGTACATAATAACATTATATGAAACTATAATATACAAGTATAATTAAAATTAAACGAAAATAATTACTGAAAATAATCACAAATATTAAGTATTAATTGAAGAAAAATCTATTAACAAATTCTTAATCTATAAAATATAATATATCTATAAAGAGTTATACAAAAGATATTTACAGTACGATCAATTATATAAAATTAAAATATCTTCGTTAAAATTCTCGTCACTCTGACACATACATAATTACTTAATGAAGTAATATTACAGCTGACGTGAAACAGTATATCAAAAACCTCTTCCAGTTTCAGTTCCTCTTCTAGTAGCGCATTTCTCGAACAGTTTCCGTGGTTTAAACCGACATTTTAATGTATTTTAAATAAACAATTTACATTTCTACATAAAGATATAACGAAACATTTACTGTTCAAATCGATGAATCCTTAGATCATATCTCATCAGCCTAACGTCATAAAGTAGTGTTGTACTCTTTGCACGTATTCTTTTAATGTGGGCTAGAAGTTCTTCATGTAACTGCTCATTACTCTCTCTACGATCTGATTCTGTTACTCCATGACCACAGTTACGAGTAGGACTATCACAGACTTCATCTCCAGCTTGACTCCCGTTTAAAGGACTCGCTTTTACACCGTCTTCATTTGTTTCTTCCATCGCTGATGCCGTGTCTTTATTTCTTGCTTCGAAAGATGTTTCTAAAGACTCCAGATGGTCAGGAATTTCTGAGTGCGTCTCTGGTTGTTCTGATGTGCTGGGTGCAATGTCCATCAGCTCGGAACTATTTGGTGGTTTAATTACATCACTGAGATGTATTGCGCGTAATATGCTCCTCATGCGGTCGCGTCCGAAACGATCTCCGACCCGTGGTCCAGGACCGCTATCAGGTTTTGCATTTGGAGGCATTTCTATTTTGTAACCCATCTCGATATTGAAATCTATTTATTTAAAGTAAAGTAAAGAGTAATCACTTTGTTTTATGAATGCGATGCGACGTTCGCATGCGCTTCAAGTTCTCCATCCTCCATTTCCTCCAGCTGTAGATAAAATACGCTTCCCAGACTTACATCAATCCCTCTAAAGACCTTGACTTTGATCAGCTACTCCTTTGCCTAATCTTTTCTTAATCGCCATTGCCTTTTGGTACGACAATTTAGATGTTTTCATTGAGTGACGAATACTGGGGGCTACCATGTTTCTATTTGACTTTGACTGCTTACTGCAACCTCGTGGTATAGATGGTATGGCAAAGGTTTTTCGCGTCCCACGTTCTTCTTCAGCTTCTCTATGACAAGGACGATGTGTACTAACGCACGATG